TCTGTAGATTGCAAAGTCTTTGTATCCATAAACTTTATATACAACGCAAATTTGAAATCTCCAGGTCTAAAAGTGTTCAAATTAGGCTGAAAAACAATGTCGATTTTTCGATTATTCTCGATAAAAAAGTTATTGGACGAGTTATCGAAAAAATAAGATAAACTTGTTCTGCCTATGGTATACACGAGTATGCATGCCAAATTTCAGCTCTCTAGCTCTTATATCTTCTGAGATCCTTTTGCTCATACGGACGGACGGACGGACGGACGGACGGACGGACGGACAGACGGACAGGGCTATATCGACTCAGCTCGTCGTCCTGATCAAGAATATATATACTTTATGGGGTCTGTGATGATTCCTTCTGCCTGTTACATACTTTTCACAAAACCATTATACCCTGATTTCCCATTTTCAATGGGTTCAGGGTATAATTATTGGGAGTGTACCTTATGTACATATATTAGGCTATATAATGTTAACAGATGCATCTTGAAACATGCATGTTCGTTAACATAGCGCATATATTGAGTGGCTTAATTGTCATTATCACTCAATTGCGCTCATTGCTCCGGCGTCGCTATGTTAATATTAGCATTTCTGTTAAAGTCGCTTTATACAGGGCTCTCTTTTGAGCTAACATAATCTATTAATGCTAAATATTCCAATTGAGTAATAATAATAAATGAGTCTTTATAGTGGTCAATATCACTAACTCGCTCTTCACACTCAATTTGTCCAGAATTATAGAGTTACAGCTGATAATTTAACTCGTGTACTTCTGCTTAATTTATTGAATCTCTATACAGCCCAAGTTGTAATATAACAATACAGTTCAGTAGTTCTCTGGTTTACTTGGCAACCAGTGAATTTTATTCATTTGGCTTAAATTTGCGAATTTCATCAAACTTGCAAACATTGCGACCATATTCAAATTTATTTATTATGCATAATTGAGTTGCCAACTTTGTGCTTTGGGTCTATACAAAACAATTATTTGCTGGCCCACTTTTGAGTCTCCGATGACGCAGCAGTTCGACTGATAGACTTCTGTTTTAAAGGCATTAGGGCTGTGGGCGGTGGGCGGGGCTCAGAAAAGTTTTAATTAAATTAGTGCACAAGTTGGCAGCACTGCAGCTGGGTAACTGTAACTGTCAACATAGCGCCGAATTCTCTACGGGCGCCGCGCCGCCTATGTGACCAGAGTGCGCTTGTGTGTGTGTTTTAGAGTGTGTGCAGACAGACATTGAAATTGACTGTATCGTCTAGCTACGCTCTCGCTCTGTCGCTCTCTCTTCCGTTCTCCCGTTCTTCTGCTCTCTTCTGCCTGAATGCTGCCATCAGCAAGTGCCCGGGCGCTATTGCTAGACACTTTGATTTTTCGTTTGGCATCCACAATAGTCCAGAAACTTTTCGCATCTCCCTTTTATCTGAACGCTGCGCATTTGACGGCGAAGAAGGCAAGAGGCAAAAAGCATTTGTAAATCGACCTCCCCACTCAGCTCACGCTCTCATACCCTTTACCGTTCCTCTCTCACTCTCTCCTTCTTACGCTCTCTTTTATTCCACCGGATATGCAAAGTGTGCAGTGTGTTGTCGACTCGACGCTTGACAATCCCAGACAGTTGCATAATCTGTCCTGCCGTTTATGCAAAGTGGCCCAAAAAGAATAGAAACGGTAGAGAGAGAGAGAGAGAGAGAGAGAGAGAGAGAGAGAGAGAGAGAGAGAGAGAGCGATAAAGGGAGAGCTTTGAGCGCAAAAGCATGAGTGGGATAATGCTAAGAGGTATCTGAATTGTTAAGCTACAGCAAATGCAGCACAAAGCGAAATCGAAGTTTTATTGAATAAGTTGATAAAGCATGCCGCAGCTTTTTTTTTTCGTTCCATTATCTGCTCAGCCACAATTTTATTGTAGTTTTATAAGACTCTTATTGCGGCTCATACTTAAACTTGCCAATAAATAAACAACAAAAACAAACAGAAAATATTTAAACTTAAAACATTTTTTCAACTCTTGGAAAAAAGAGAAAAATACATATACATATACATATACATAAGCATCTACATACATATATATTTAAAGTGCATAGAGAGAGCTTTTAAATCAAAGAGTGGACTTGGCATGAGCGTAACAGATAATTCACTCATTTCGCTGCTTCGACGCCTTACCGTGACGATTTGATCCCGTTTTATGTGTAGAGTATAGTTGCTTGAAGAGAGCGAGCATTGGAAAACGTGTGCTGTTGGATCTCGTCTGTCGATGCAAGAGTGTGGGCTCTGTGTATGCTGTGAGCGCTCCCATTGCATTGTGCTGCGTAAAAGTTGTGTTTGTATTGGGTTGAGTGCCGGCTGAGCAAATGAAGGCACTTGATGGGACGATTCAGTTTGTGTGCGTTTGTCGTGCAGATCGGATTAATTATTTCATTTGCGTGTTCGTGCTCTTTAAAATTAAAATAATACAATAAATAAAATAATACCAATTATTTAATTTATCGTAGCTAAGCTTAATTTTTTGTCTTCATTAAAGTGGCTTAAGAGGTGTTTAAATTTTTGTTCTGTTTTTTTTTATGTGTGTGAGAAAAAGAAACAAATAAAAAAAAAATTGCCCTCACTGCAATGTGAACCACATTCGCCGCAGGCGAGAGTGATAGAAGGAGAGCGGTGAGTTATTTCAATTTACCTTTTGTTTTCAATACGCAGTTTTTATTTTAGTAATGCTTTTGGTATCTACTTTTGGTACCTACTCGTATAAACATAATCTATTTGGCCTTTGTGGATACAGTGTTGCATGAGTTTTGTGGCTGTAAAAGAATTTTTAATGTCTATATTTTTTATTTAAAAAATATTTCTTTATTACAAAATAGGGTTGAATGCCTTTAGGAGGATCTGAAGCTTGCACAAATTATATATTATTTAAATAATAGGAATAAATATGTTCAATGATAGTCAGTTATGCACAACTTGTATGCTCCAATTAGCTTGCCAAATGAAAGAAATATGTAAATATGTTTATATATATGTATTTATTTTTCACACTTTACATTAAATTTATTGAAGTAGTCAAGGAAAAACTAATGCTATTGCTGCACACACTGCAGTAAAATACCAAAGTGCTGTGAGCCGAAGTCGTAGAGCGTAAGATCAAAATAGTCGAGTTCAGTGCAGCTCAAATGGTGGGCAGATGATGTTCGGTGCGATGTAGCATGGCCGCATTCTTGTTCAACGGCTGCAGCTTCACAAAGTCCTGATGCGTATGATGGTGATGATGATGCTGGTTGCTCGGCAGTAGCGGCAACGAGGTGTTTGAAGTCTGCGATGAATGCATTCCATTCGAATGGAAGAAAAGTACAATTAGATAGTGATTTACATTTTAATTTAGCAAAATATCATTCAAAACGTATATAAAAATTTTTTCTTTTTTTTTTTTTTTTTTT